TTGTATGGAGAATGTTGATTTTTATGATAGGAAAATATTCATATATGGGGTAGTTATGCCATTAATTTAGACAAAATTAGCCTTTTGACTAATGTACGTAAAATTTTTTTGTTACGAGTGGATCATATGGATGCTCTTCAAGGCAAGATTAGCAGACTTTCCAGGACTATGGTCATGTATGGTCACAGGTCAATGTACCTTGCTATGATTTCGGGTCTCGACACCACCGTGGCCCAGTCCTCGACCAGGCCTATTTATACTGTACTGCCACTATACTGTACTGTCACCATAATATACTGCCACTAGTCGCTGAGAACTAAGCTCTTCTAACACTATTTTCTAACTGTTCTAACTTTCTAGCACTATTATGACCCCAGTAGGGTCATAATAGCAGTGGAATATAACTAAATAACATTCAATCTAAGTCAAGAATAACTAGGAGCAGTCTATTCATACAACTCTTCTGTATTTCTATCCTCTTCTGTACATTGAATCACAAGTGACCCAATTATACTATTGTTTAATCTCATGAAATATACAGCAATGAATTTTAGGAGAAGAAAAAGAGGCCAGAATGGCAGTAGAGTAGAAGTCGGAGGCAGTTATGGGAATCAAAGAAGGGGCACATAGACAATACAACACAATGCCACAAGCATTACAGCTAGTGATGTATGCTAGTGCCAATGGTCAGGCATTACAGACATTGTCACCTTCTGTCAGATTAATTCTAGAATGTGCAGCATTGACATTCAATCACATCATCATGAAAAGCAAGAATGCAGAGAAAGTTCCCCAATTTGCTTTGAGACTGGTGATAGAAATAAAGAAGCTGAACAATAAAAAATAGGTTAAGGGAACTCAATAATATAAAACTAAAAGGGAGAAAGACCATAGGAGACATGATCAGAACATGCATGATAATGAACAAATATAATGTGAACAGCAGAATAAGCTGTTAGAAGAGATTATGAATGCAGTATACATTCAGAGTGATAGTAGCAAGTACAACAAAGTACAAGAGCAACAAGAAATACTTCTACACAAGTACAAATAATTAAGGGTCGAGACCTTTCTCCTTCCCCAAGAGCTACATCTTATTCTCTCTCCCAGCAAATCACACTTACGTTTCACAGCTCTCAGAGTGGAGTGTCTTGGACCAATCCTTTACATAGCAAGATCCTATTTTCTCCATAAGGGTCTTATCAGAATTTTACAAGTTTAATTATATGCACAATTTCTGACAATGTTCCACAAAAATTTATTATACAAGAGCAATCTCAATTCAGCAAACTATATGGGACCCAAACTATACTTCCCATCTCTACTGTACCCCTGAATTTACTGTACCTGCATACAAGATTACTTAGCAAACTGTGAATTTCATTGATAAGTTATGGCAAACCCTACAACCTAGAACACCGAATCATCACGTGTCTATTATCCTCCAATGTGAAAAGAATTCAGAACAAGATCTCACCCCCAGGTATGCAATGACTGCCCAGGATAACAGCATTGGAGAGCCTACACTTGTTAACCAGGAGTTAACAACTCCTCCAGATCAAGCTGCTTCATTCCATGGTGAAGTGCCATGATGATTACACTGCCCTGAGGGGAAAAAAAAATTAATGAAAAATTGTTGGAGTATTGCATGGGATAAAGGCCATTTCCAGCTAGGAAAGGCCAACCTCAAATCTCTGGATCACATCACTATCTTAGCATAATAAAACGTAATTTATCTAAAACAATGTGAAGATGAAAACTATCGTCTATTAGGCATGCAATAACAACTACTCACCACAATCTGCGTGTCAAATAGAATGAGGGTGATGGCAGTAAACAGAGTTTTACACATAGCCTGAATAGAGCTATCTGCACCCACAGTTCTGAAGATGAGGTTCTCAGATTGCCAGTAATTGCATCCAAGAACAAATCCAACTCCTGCCATACTAGTACCAAACACTGAAGTCAAACAAGTCGAACCTGCAAGTCAAAAAGAGCCATCATTGTCTTGTTTTTCGAGGCAAGCCTTTCTCCTCATAATATTATTATTAGTTCCCAAATTAATAACAGTACTGTACTGTACTATTATATATCTTCATCCAAGTTTTTATTATAATTCCTAAAACTTATTTCATAGCAAACTAGCAAATAAAGCAAGCTGCTAATTTACATAAGTTATATACATGGATGCAAAAATGTTGTAATATATACAATACAAATTATGAGTGACCAGGGTATATGAAACAAGATAATAGCTTGAAGAAGTAACACTGCCAGTGCAGGGGCAGTGCCAGGGAGCACCCAGCGAAGTACTCCTGAATGTGTGCAGCTCCCAACGGATTTTGAAACCTACCTTACCTAACTTAATCCACCTTAACCTAAGCCAAACCAACCTAACCCAACCCAACTGAGACTAATGCAGCCTAACTTAATACATCCTAGCCTTTTAGTTTAGTTAATTTATTATGCACCCCATACCCATCTTGTGGAAAGGGTTACAGAGACAATGGGCTCAGGAACTGAACCTCACAATTCATTTAGCTAAACAAGTTACAATCTTGATGAGCTAGTTACAAAATTCAGTGCACATCGTCACATCAACAATGGGCTCGAGATCAACCACAAGTACAGTTTCTAATTAAGCAACTGACATATGTGGAGAGCTAGTGTCACAATTGATATGTTTGTCCTGCACACTGCCCCCCATCCAGTGGGCAGCGGTGGATAGGTTACAGTCACTTAGTTACTACCTACAGTTAGCAAACTGGGTACATTACATCTTTTTCTCAGTCTCCGTGGTGTAGTGGTAAGACACTCGCCTGGCATTCCGCGAGCGCTTTGTCATGGGTTCATATCCTGGCCGGGGAAGGATTTACTGGGCGCAAATCCTTAACCTCTGTTTAACGCAACAGTATAATGTGTACTTAGTTGTAACAAGGATTCTTCGCGGCGGGGATCGTATTCCAGGGACCTTCCCGAAACGCTACGCGTACTAGTGGCTGTACAAGAATGTAACAACTCTTGTATATATCTCAAAAAAAAAAATTCTGGCAGCAGATCATTTTGAATGAAATACAGTATTTACACATCTCTTGAACATTTGTTATAGAATTGCCTCTGAATTCACCTATCTTTTTGCACTCTCTCACATAGTGACGGAGGGTGTGCGAATAATTTTGTTGACACAGTTTACATTTGGTCAGGTCTACATCAGCAGGTAATGAGAATTTCCAGAGATACTTGTAACCGAGTCTAAGCCGAGCAATAGTAACATCTAGAAGTCTGCCGATTATATTGGATGATCCATCAATGTGTGGCTCCTCTTGCATGATAGTATGATGATAGATGGAATTACTGGTGTCGATTTCACTTTGCCTCTGACCTACAAGATTTGGTTGAAGTTCTTGGTGTATTATTGCTCTTGAGACTGCTTATTGACAGTCCAAGGTTATCCTCAATTTCTCCTTTAAAGGCAGATTCTTTGGCTAACTCATCAATCAGCTTTATCATGCATTCAGAGGCCAACATGAGATGGAGTCTACATGAAATGAACTCTTAACCATCGTTATAACTGTTGTAGTATTTGTGTAGCTTCAGACAAACATATAAATTTTGACACTAGCTCTCCACATATGTCAGTTGCTTAATTTAGAACCTGTACTTGAGGTCGATCTTGAACCCATTGTTGATGTGACGACTTATATTGAATTTTGTAACTAGCTCATCAAGATTGTAACTTGCTTAGCTAAATGAATTGTGGGGTTCAGTCCCTGAGCCCATTATGTGCCTCTGTAACCCTTTCCACTACCGCCCACAAGATGGGTATGGGGTGCATAATAAATGAACTAAACTAAAAACTTCAGACAGCATGTTACAGTTTTGTCTTAAAGAGTTGAGAGCAATTAAGGATGATAGTCAATTACAATTAATGTTTCAAGTTGAGACTTACACATTTCAGTGCAAGAAGCAAGGCAAATTGTTCGGTCTGAAGGGTAGAGGTCCAGTTGTTTATACGGACTCCCCCACTCAAAATGCACAAAACACAACACTTCTGTCAGTTTTTGGATAAACTCCTTTTATATTTATTATGTGAGAGTTATACATGTATAAAATGATAACTATTATAGGTAAGCGCCTAATATTTAATATTAATCAATAAAAAAGAAGTCAGAAGCCACACGCCTGTCTGTACATGTCTTTTGTGTAAAGTATTTTGGGCGCTCATGTACTTGTGCGCTAGCTGGCGTTCACAACTTTTCGCCTACAAGCATTAGAATTAAACAAACGAATTTATTTTTTCATTTATATACAAGAAGAGAAGGCTACCCTTGAGTCTGTAATATTCATCTGATCACTGGTCTCCCATTTGGTCCTCATTGCTTTATCTTACTATTATTGAATGTCAATAACCGTATTATGTATTATGCGCTAATTATATGAACAAGTGCCATGTATTTATTCAGACGAGAACAACAGCGAACACAAACCAGCGCATATACGAACGGAATGGTTTGTATGTACAAACTTCTCAGTGAACGAAGTTGTTTCTAGCCCGGTATCCGAAATTGCAGTATACGACTTTTTTTTTTTTTTTTTTTTTTTATTATTTTCTACCACAAACGTGGCCACACATTTACAATGCTAACCAGCATATATACATTTTCTTCTGTCCTCCATGGACAGGGTTAGAGAAATGTTAAACATATAGTTCAAGGGTTTATTGAACACTCAACCACAGAAGGTGATTCGGTGCTTTTAAAATGCTAAGCTAACCTACATACGTAAATACATAGATACACAGATTTACGTATGCCCTACATAAAGTGTTTGATGTGACTTTTACATAGTGTCATTAATGTACATTCACAAAGGTGAAATGTAATTCTGATCAGCTTCCATATATACTTTATACCCATACATATACATACATATACACACACATGCATTCACATACATCTGTCTCATTTACTCTGACAGGGTGAGATAGCTGATAAAGAAACTAGTGTGCAATTAAGCACTTAATCACTGAGGGTGATGATGGTGCTTTTACAAGCAGTATACGACTTGACTAGTCCCCCGCCCAGGCAGCCAGTGGCCGACGGGACTCCCACTCTCACCATGGCTGCTGCTGCTGCTCTCCCAAAACTGCTCGACGAGTCCTGTATTAAGGAGTTTCTCAATAGTTTTGACAATGTCCTCAGCGACTGTGACGGTAAATTACCCACTTAATGCCCACATGAGCCTGGAAGATGGTGTCCTAGGGGCCGGGATCACACCCCAGGAGTGTTAGCAGCGATTGCATCATTGACATTGTTGCACGAATTGCCATTTGTTTTTTATTTACACTATTTTTGCTTCCTCTTTTTGGGGTAATTCCCGGGGCCCTTATACAGTCCTGGGTATGTAATGCTTTGTGTAAAGGTGACTCGAGTTTTCTTTGCTTGTAACTTGATATATATTAGGGTCCCGGTAGTACAGTCTGGTTCGTTCTCTACACACAATCAAGAATTCCGGGTTCGAATTCCTGGCGGGAGAGAAATGATTGGGTACATTTCTTTTCACCTAATGCCTCTGTTTACCTAGCATCAAGTAGGTACTCAGAAGTTAGCTTGTTGTGGGGTTTCAGCCTGGAACCGGGGTCAGTAATTCGACTCGATAATAGCTTAACGTGCATGAATACACTCTGGCTTCCTGTCCCCCCCTGACACAGTGAATTATTATATATTATCTGGTCCAACAGGATATGCCCGAAATGCTATGCGTGTTAGTGGCTCTGCATGAATGTAAAAATACCAGTCATTTAATTTCATCAACCCATTGTACTGTTTTGCAAATAAATTATAATTATTATTATGTGGTTGTTTAGTACACACGAGTGTCAGAAACTGAGTTTCGTTCATAAGTTTTAGTTTGACATTGTATTTTTCGTACTTGGTAAGTTTGGTAATTCACACTAGGTAATATATCTCTCGCACATTCCTAACCTTAATCTCAGGATACATCAAGATCTGAAAGTGTGTAATGAGGACTATGGAATGTATGGCGACTTGTGTATGTTTAGCATATAGTCAATAAGTACATAAGATGGATCAGCAAAGCTTGTTTACCAATTGTCAAAACCGGATATATTGTTAGGTTGAGCTGTGTTAGTCTCAATTGAGTTATGTTAGGTTAGGCTGTGTTATTCTCAGTTGGGTTAGGTTGGCTTTGGAGTTGACACAGGCTTTGGCCTGTGTCTCCCAACCTGGTTTGCCATCTTCATGTTTGCTGCCTCTCGTCCTTCCTGGTAAGTCGTGTATTTGCTTTCTGGGGTTAGCTAGCTTCAGGGAGCCACTGGGTCTTCCCCTTCAGAAATCCAGTGTTGAATGTAATGAAATGGAGGAGCCCCAATAGTTCCCTGATTTTCCCCTCCCTTTAGGTTCATCAGCTTATTGTGGGTTGTTCCGCTCTAGAACTGAGGTTGAGAGTCGACCAAGGGCTAGGTTTGGGCCGCCCAGTGGCGGTAATTGATACTAATGAGTTTCGAGCTAGTTTGAGTGAATCCCTTGCTCTTCATGAATTGTTTTCATTGTTCTTCACAAAACTTCCACAAATGTTGTGACCCTTTGCTATGGAGCAATATCTCAACAAGATGATTTCAAGTAACCACTGGGGCTACTCCAGAAAGAGGCATTGCATTCAATGTTTGCCTTATAGACCTGAAAGATATTGATGAGAAATCTGTTACAAATACAGTAGTTAACATGGAAATTCATTCTTGGAATTGAATTTCCAAGAATGGGAATTTGACGTTTGTAACAAGAAATTTCATCCCACTGTGGCCAAACTAAAAATGATTTGAATTTTTCTTTCATCATCAGAATTGTTTTATTTAACTCATCCTCCTGTTTAGATAGTACAAACATTGACATACATTATTAGATAGTAGAACTTTGTACTAGTCACATAAAAAAAATGAGTCCAAGAAATGAAGCCCAAAAACAAAACTTAAATATTCCTAGGCCTAGTATAGCACCCATATTACTATATTAGGCCTCAGATAGTGTATACCTTGCCTTGAGGCTAGGTATTAGGCCTATGAAGGTTAGGATGAGTTAGTTTTGTTTGTCTTTGCAACGTAAGTAGAAAATGTTTTTCCATTTTATCCAAATTCAATAGTACAGTACCAATTTCTACTTTCTAATTGTGTTGTACGTCGGTACAGTATATGGACTATGGTCCTCATCCTTCCTATAAGTACTGTAGTACCAAAACAGGAGGATGTGCTAGATTTATGGTACAGGAATGAGAAAAGCAATTTTTTTGGGGGGGGAAAGCCCACTTGTGGCTCTGAAGCTGCAATGCAGATACAGTGCCCGACTACTAGGTGCCATCAGTCCCGGAGTTCTTTTAGGCCTACCAGGGACCATGAGCCAGAACCTCGTCCCCTCTAAAGAGGCAGTATGATAAAATTGTTTGAATTTTAATCATGTCTGCTATCAGCGAGAAAGCACCCACAAAGTTAGCAAAACACAACAGACTACTGTGGGTTACAAGGAAATTTCGATGCCTCAAAATCTCCAAAAGAACCCTCCTAACAATGTAAACAAACACTAGAAAATTTGTGAAGTTAGCACAAGTTCGTTCACCACTACCCTGCCCCTTTGGGTAAAGAAGGGAGGCAGACCAGGTAATCCAGCTGTTCCACCCTCAGTTCTTTGCTGATGATAGACAGTGTGTGGTGCCCTCTCTGGTACTCTGGCTCCCATGTTCTGCTTCAGCTAAGTGGTGATTTTTTGTCATTTTGACTGTTTCAACACATGTTTGTGCTGTGTGAGGCAGGAAGGAGTATAGAGCACTTGGAGGAACTGCATGCGCACAGGTTCTTTCCCCCCTGTGTGCTCCCTAGTGCCACCCTTGTTCTGCCAGGGCTCTCTTCCCTGGAGTGTTCAGGGTTTGCTCACCTAAAATCCTCAAAATAAACATAAATATCAATGCCTAGGAATCCCTTTTGGGGATTTTGAGGCATCGATATTGTTACGGCCCTATTGGGTCGCAACTGGGTTCTTTCTCTGATGTTAATAGAGATTGGGTATCCGGCCCCAAGCTAGTAGTAGCTTTCAAGGGGTGTGCTCTGTAACGCAAGTAAATTAAAGGGGAAGGGATAAAACTGCTCAGAAATAAATATATATTCACCACCACCAATAAATAAATATATAAACAGTCACACGCTGTTGTTATTACTACACTTATTTACAATTGCTTGTCTTCCTCCGAAGACTCAAGACGTTCACGGTGCTCAAGACGAGTGGTCCTGGTTCTCTTGTGGCCTCACGGTGAATCCTTCGATTCCCTCGAGTCTACCCTGGCCACAGGCTAGCCAAATCACAGTTCCACTGGGGGCACCGTCGTGGAGGCCTTCAACCACAAATCCAGCCTGTAGCTGGCAGGTTCCAATCAGTTCCGCAGGTTAGGCCACTCCACGACCGATACTAGGGTTGCGAGCCCTAGGCAGGAGCCTCGTGTGACTTCACAGATCACTCTCCTCACCTCAACACCCCAGTGGATAGTCTTCTCCTCCAGTCAGCCCCGGGTACGACAAATCCTCAACTGCCACGTCACAGGCAGGCTAACACAACAGTGTTCATCCGGGGGGTGACTCACAACTTCTGCAGCTAACACTTGGAGATTCTTGGGTAGACTGATCCAACGTTCATTACAGCAATCCCAGGTCGACTCTGTAATCAGACACGTCATCAGTACTAGTTACACTAGGGCACCTCACAGGCTTAGACACAAACGCCCACCTATCCACTCCATAGATGGCGTTGCTGTCCAAGCGTCACCTCACCAGAGGTCAGCAGCGGCTGTGCTATGAGCTGATCAGGACGGGAAACTAGCCCTTGTGGCCAGTATATCTCGTCCTCACTAGATGGCGTCGTCCATTTGGAGGGGGTTTCGGGAGCTGACCCATAGATGGCGCGGTCGTCACTGCTCCGTGCTCGGACGCTGGGCTCGGGTCCGTAACAGATATTTACTCATAACCAGCAGTGGTCCGTTTTGTTTTGCTCCAGTGGTTGCAGACATAATTAAAATTCACTGAAAATTTTATCATGGTGCCACTGCTCCTTGCACCTTTTTAGACAGGACCAGGTTCTGGCTCATGGTCCCTGGTAGGCCTAAAAGAACTCTGCAACTGATAGCATCTAGTAATTTTGCACTGTATCAGCATTGTAGCTATAGGGAGCCACCAAGGTTCACCCAGAAATTGGGGTTTCATTACATTCGACGCTAGTTTTTTTTATGCTTACCAGGAAATTTACTTAATTTAAGGTGAAAGTTAGGGGATAAGGCTTTGAGTAGATATTTTATATAGACATAATGTGATTCCTAAACTTTTTTTTTAATGTTGTAACCAATGCTATAATAATATGGTAATCTAATTTTGTCATTAATATATAGGACAATTTTGTATTAGGAAAACTGTTTATTTCAAATTACTGTACCAATAAGTATGCACTGCAGGATTGTTTTTTTATTGATTATACCTAGCATTTCTTTTTTTGATGCTATTGAGTTGATTTTGTCATAAATATTCATGCAATATTTTTATGATTATTTCTAGGAGTTTTGTGGTGCTGTGATTCTGTAATAGGCCGAGCAAATGAAGCTATAAATCAACTACGAAGCTTAGGGAAGAAGATATTCTATGTGACAAATAATTCAACCAACTCGCGTGATGGATATGTTGCCAAGTGTGAGCGACTTGGCTTTATTGCCAACAAGGTAGTGCAACTAATATTTTGCTGCCAGTACTACAGTAGTACAGTAAATGAAATTTGAGTTAATATGTCATACCTTGCGACGCAATGATTCCGGGGCATAGGGTTCCCGTGGCCCTGTCCTCGACCAGGCCTCCCGTACACCTGTACAGGAGGCCTCCTGTATTGTACACAGGCATGTACAATATTTTGTTATAGTTTAGTCTTATTGAATGAATAGAAGAAATGTGTAGCTTAGCATGTGTGTTCAACTGTCCTCTCACTTAGTAAATCGCTTTTTATGGAATTTACCAATCTGTTAAAAATTTTCCATTACTTAAAATTATAGCACTTTAATATTGATGTGTTCTATGCATCGGCCTCAATAGGGGGGTTATTTGGCTAGGCTCAACAGTTAAATTTTTTATGGAGCGACAGATCAAGACATTGGACTGGTATATTTGTGAATTTAACTCTTCCAGGGCACAAATCATATATAATATACAGTATGATTTTGGCCTAACTAACTGGAGGGAGTATATCTTGTATATATGTTGTAGAGTATTGTGTAAGAGTCAAAGTCTTACGGCTACATGGGGTTCACATCGGCTTTCTCAGGGCTCCAGTAAACAACGGCATTTAAAACAAAAAATTTGTGGGCACCATTTCTGGGTGTGAAGACCTCAATAATGAGTGAACAGCCAGGGTTGGTGCATGCAGCTTGCGCTACCAGCACTGCTGTTCAGCTTGTGACCACAACAATGCTTAAAACTGGCAAAATATGTAACTGCTATTATTTTGCAATGATAGTATTATAGAAGAATGATAGTATGGGTATTATAGAAGAGCCTGACTGTGTTAAAGACTGCGTACAGTGTTCTGATATCGGTAAACACAATGCTGTTCTTGATGTTCACAGCACTAGATAGGCAGTCACAGCACTCTGCCATTGTTTGGTCCATCTAAGCATGTTGAAATGGCTGCTCATGTTCCTTTACAAAATAAACTCGTGGAAATTATTCATTTACAGGATTTAGTAACCAGAATTCTTTTTGCTGTTATCAGAATCTCTTTGCCGGTCTCTCTGCCATGTCTTGTTCTCTAGCCAACCTGTAGTCAACCCCCGTGCCCTTGCTGTGCTTCTGTATGCCAATCTTTCATCACTCTTTGCTTATGTCTCTTCTTCAGGCGAGGGGGGTTTTGGTGGTCAATCAGGTCCTGGCAGCTGGGCATCTTGTGGATGTTCCTGGTTTTGTGTGACTATGTGGCCTTGGGTCGTGCTTTGGGCTGTTGGGGTCTTTTCATCTTGATGCCTGCAGTGCTTCCTCCTCACTGGTGTGTGCCCTTTCTTCTTTTTCCATAGGTAGATAGCTTCAGGGAGCCACAAGGCACCCCCCAAAAAACCAGCAATGAATGTAATGAAATACCAATTTCTGGGTGATCCCCAGTGCCCCCACCTGTTACTCTTCCTCCCCGAGAGCATTAAGGTGGTTTCCATCGTCATAAGAACTGGTGGTGGAGCAGCTGGCTGACCCGGTTTGTTCCTTCCTTCCCCGAAACGAGGGGGAAAAAGTGGGGTGAACTAGCATGCGCTAGTTTCATGAATATTCTGTCATTTGTTTACATTGTTGGGGGATTTCTTTTGGAACTTTTGAGGCTGCGGTCTCATTTCTAACCAAGCAGTAGTCTGTTTTGTTTTGATGACTTTCTGGGTGTCTTCCCTTGGTGGTGGTAACATTAATTAATTTACATGAAATTTTTCATAGTGCCTCTGCTCCCTGCGCCTCTCTGAGGGGGGGGCTAGGTTCTGGCTCTTGGTCCCCGGTAGGCCAATAAAAACTCCACGACTAATGGCACTTAATAGTATGACAGTGTAATAGCTTCAAGGAGCCACTGGGGCTGGCTCAGAAATTGACTTTTCATTACATTCAATGCTGTTTTAGTTTTTGTTTTTTAAACTTGTGGGTAGCATTTTATTCCTAGGTGTATGAAGTAGTGGGATGGTGCTGATGTGGATATTTAGCTGAAGCAAGATTATGCTGATTCTGTGTGATGCTGCAGTATGTACAGTAAGATATATATTGGAAGGATGAAGTGTTATTGTGAGTACCTATTTATTACCTATTTCTCTGTCATAACATTTCTTTCTTTTAGAAATGATGCAAAACTACAAACTGTTGTAGTTTGAAAATATAAATTATACATCCCTAAATTGTCAAATTACTCCTAACTGTTAATCTACATCAAGATCAGTTATCAGTTAATCTGGAGCTGAATGAGCATCTGATGCCTTTAAATGTTGAACTGAATTCTATAAGTGTGTCCATGCGCATAAATATCCATCCATTATCATTAGTCTATTTCCTACTTTCATGGGGGGTTGAAATGTCCCATGAAATGAAGAATATTAAAGTATAATATGAAGAATAAAGAGTATTAAAGTATAATCTTATACTTTAATACTCTTATTCTTGTGTTGATGCATTTCAACCCCATGAAGTAGGAAATGGGATAATGATAATGGATGGATATTTATGCAAGTGGACACAATTGCGCAGACGATGAGTCACAATAGCATGGTTCATCACAAAGGTTCGAATCCTCATCACAGTTCCTGTGGATCTTCTCATAACTTGGTTGAAGAGTTAATATCCAACCCACACATCTGAAATTGAAGAAATGATGATGATTCAATCTGTCCTGGATATGGTGGTGGTCCAGGATGGACCAAAATGTAATTTTCTTCAATTTCAGATGTGTGGCATGTACTCGCGTACATAATAGAAGTTCATAATTTAATAGCATCAGATGCTCATTCAGCTCCAGATTAACTGATAACTAATCTTGATGCAGATTAATATTTAAGAATACAGGTAACTTAATGGTTAAGGTTGCATAGCTTAGCTGTTCAGACTTTATCATAGTTTGTATTTGTGCATGCCTTCTAAAGAATGAGAAAATGTTGAGAGAGATAGTAGGTAATTTTTCTATTTTTACTCATTTCACTTTTATTCGCAATGTGCAGCACATCGTAAAATAGTACTTGTACAGTCCATTAATTTAAATTGTATGTGTTGAACCAGCTTGCAGGATACTTTAGTGAGTGTGCTGAAACAGCGTCCAGAATAACTGAAGTGGGTGTTTAACATTAAGCTGCTTAGCTGCACTCACTAATAAATAGCTCAGAATGTTTTTGTATATTTCTATGAAAGGAGGAATGTCAAAGCCTGTTAGAACACAGATCTATAGTACATTATTGTAATTTTCTGAGTATTTTCAACATTTCTTGCTTGATATGGTTATTTTTAAATATTTGAAATGTCTTCTCACCAGGAAGAGATAGTGAGTGCCTCGTATGTGATGGCTCAGTATCTCGAGCAGCTAAACTTCAACAAAAAAGTATATGTTGTTGGAACCTCAGGGATGACTCAGGAGTTGAATGAAGTTGGGATTTCACACACAGGTGTTGAAGTACGTATGTTGACTTGTATTTCTAGTATGCTTTACTCTGGTCAATAACATATCAGTTTGTGCTTTCCTCTGGTCAATAACAAATATCAGTTTAAATGTGAAATTCAACTTTTTTGTTTTTTTTTGTTTAACCTGAGATAAAGCCTACTATTTATATGTTAAATGAATATTTAGGCACTACTTATATCATGCAGAGTAGTTAATTAATAACTACTAACTAATAACTACACTTAATCTGGTACATAATAATAATACAATGTTATTCTTCATTGCAGCCAGACCCTTTGGTGGGACAGGCCTTTGATTTATTAAATACAGTCAAACTGGATCCAGAGGTTGGGGCCGTGGCCATTGGTTTTGATGGTCACTTCAGTTTTCCCAAAATCATGAAGGCTGCGTCATACCTCTCCAACCCTGATTGTTTATTTCTCGCCACGAATATTGATGAACAGTTTCCTGTTGAGAATACCTCTCTTATATTTCCTGGTAAGTTTATTGGCCTGTTAAAGAATCCTACTTTGCATCTCTAGATAATTACAGTACTGTAGTGGTGTTTCACTACATGGCCCTTCTTTCTCTTAGCATGGTTGCTTTGGTTGCTCCTCTAGCCAGAAGCATGACTCCATCCAGGTTATTGCAATCACACCATGGAAAGGATGCTCTGCTTGATAAAACTGGATCAAACCCCCCTTTGCAAAAAAACTCATTGAGACTGCAAGGATAGACAATAATGGCTAGGAAATTAAATAACTAGCAAATTACCCATTATCCTGACTGCCCTCAAGCGGCATCACTAGCTAGCACAACAGGGGTCACAAAAGATGGTAACCCTCATTGTGTGGCTGGTGTCCACCCACAAAGCACCCACTCTGCAGAATCTGATTATTAGGTTGACTGGCAAATTTGTTGGGACTTAGTCTCTCTGCTAAGAGACTAAGACTAAAAACAATGGTTATTAAATGATAATGTATGATGTAAGGCAAGACCTTTCAGTGGAAGAAAGAGAGAAGCTAAAACTACACCTTGATGAAACAAAATTTTTAAATGAGGGTAGGAATGGAGAAGAAAGTTGTTGTTTTTCCTACAAGGTGATGTGTATTGGGAAGCCTGTAAAATGGACCACCAAAGTAAACAATTGAAGTCTATAGTGGAAAGGGTAATGAAGGGAAAAGGAGGGGGATCATGTCCCTGAAAGTTGTTTATACCACCAGAAATTGAGTGAGGTAAAAAATACTGGAGTTAAATGATATGATGCAGCTTATGATGACAGATATTGTGGTGCACTATCAGAGGCAAAACTCGAAGATAAAACTTTAAATGCAGTAATGTTGCCGAAGAGGTACACTGTTTGGAGATGTGATAGAAAAATTGGAAAAGGTGGAGGTGTTGCTGTCCTGTGTAGAGGAATGACTAAAAGTAAGAGAATTAATATTTGACAGCCCTCGAGAAGTCAACATAATGGCATTAGAGATCTGCAATCAGGATAACAAACTGCTAAACATTATTGCCTACAGTCCACTAGGAGGCAACACATGGACTAAAGAAGAGCTAGATGACAAAATAAAGGGCCCTTATAATGATCATAGGAGAGATTATAGTTAGAGCAGGTAAAGACAAATTACAATTGTTGGTTCTTAGTGACTTCAACTTGACATCAATTGAAATCAGCCCATGAAGCAAAAATGGGAAGACTTTTGGACCTGCTGAAAATTTTTCTTTGAGAGACTTGTATCACCATGTTAAACACGCTATGAAACTAAGAGAAGAGGGATGCGTCATTATTGCTGGATTTGGTATTTACCAGGAAAGAAATTCGAAGAAGCCATAAACAGTATACTTATGCACTCTGCACCAGGCCCAGATTCTTGGAACTCCATATTCATCAAGAACTGTAAAAAAAACACTATCGCAGGCCCTTCACATTCTGTGGAGACAAAACCTAGATACTGGCGTTTTCCCTGACATACTAAAAACAGCAGAGATAGCACCACTCTATAAAGGAGGAATATATATCATGGTGGTGGCTACAGTTGCTAAATGATAGCAGAATTTTTTATGGATCATATTAACATTACACAAACTGGGCAATAATAATGATGATGATTGTCAAATGATGGTAACTGCAGTGGTCCAGGTGGTTAACAAATAACAATGATGAACGTTGAGGATTAGATTTAATTATTTTCTCATGTTCCATCTCCTTGTTCTTCTCTACTGTGGTTGTTATCCCCTAGCACCACTATATAGCATTGAGGGCTGTCTTGTGTTTGAAATAGAGGTAGCCATAACACTTGTACACGGGGCAAGCTACATTAAAATAATAATCCATTTTTGAATAATAATTTTATTTAAAAAATATACACAAGAATATGATAGAGAATGCATATTAAATGAAGCCATTAAACCACAGAGCATTTTGACCATAAAAACTAGGTTGCATTAAGAATAGATTGTGTATAGTTTGTGTAGTGATCACTGGGTCTCATGTGGTGGCTACAGTTGTCTTTTGCAGTGTATGCCTGATATGATATAGTATATTTTTGTTGAATGTTGTTGCTGCAGATGAAAATATATTTTTTAATAATTATAAAAAATATATCCATTACATAGTGGCATAATGTACTCAGTGCTTTTGACATTTTTTACCCGTATTTCAGGTACTGGCTGCTTTGTACGGTGCGTGGAGACAGTTGCTGAGCGCGCACCGATAATTATGGGCAAGCCTTCGGAGATGATGTTTTCCGTCATCAGTGAAAAGTATAAGCTTGATCCTTCGCGTACTCTAATGATTGGAGATAGGTTAGTTTATTTTCTTTTAACCTTTAGCATATGGCTGATGTTATTTTGACTTGTTTCACTACAGAAATTTCAGGAAATTTGGGTTTGCAAATTGGAATGGTTAAAATGATGATTATAACAAAGAAAGCAAAGGGTCATCCTAAATGGAAGTGAATCTGACTAGGAAAATATGGTGAGTGGAGTACTGGAAGGCTCTGTCTTGGGACCAACCTTTTATTGTCATGTACATCAATGACATGGATAAGAATATTACAAATCACATCATTAAATTAGCAGATGACACTAAGATCTATGGTACAGTAGATGGCAAAAACAATATTAAATAGTGTTAAATAACCAAAAGTCTCATACCACATGAGGAATGACACCAGTGCCACAAAATGTTGCCAGAGCCATAAAATAGCATGTGACAATATAGTGCGCTAGTAAAGTGTAGAACAACCAGTGACATGAAAATGTATAATACAAAGATAACATTATAAGGGGTATAAATTAACGTCTATCTTAGCGAGAACATAACATTGGGACTAACATGGCTGGCCGTGAAGCGGAGGTTTCAGGAGGGCATGGTAGTGCCACAGACATACCAATGGTAATACAGTATAGGGTATGGAACTATCATTTCAGTGAGCAAGCAAATAGTGATGAAAATCTAGTAGTGGTGAGATTTTCATAATACAGGAAACATGAAGTATTAAAGTAGTGAAAAACCATAAAACACAAATAGACTAGGGAAATTAATCATAGTGAAACTGGCACCCCATCCTGGTCGGTGCTGACCGAGGGAGCGTAGCTCACATCACATGATTTCACCACCAGATTCCACCACACAGCTAACTGAGCTCAGTGCTGTTTTAGATACAGCTAACAAATTGGATATTCCAATTGAATATGGAGTAATATTAAACAAGTGCACCAGTAGATAACGACAACATAAAACAAGAACTTGCTGGTGTTACGTGGAGAAAGAGGAGGAAGCCTCTTCTCTTCCAAATGCTCCTCTAATTCTTGTATCAAAGTAAACACTTTGGTCCTATGTGCACCAGGAACACTGGGACCTTACTCCGAGGACTGCCAGGCATTTGCACTGTCCCCAAAGGGTGGTAAGGTAGAACAAGAGGTGTTGCAGAGGTGAGTGCTTGTGACTGACATGCCCACTGGGTGACAATGTTGCTTCACAATAATTGGGGTAGACACCTACCCCAGTGCCAAAGAAATATACTTCTCCAACACCCAATACACCAAAGGTAATTCTTGAGCAATTTATGAGGCTAGATCCCCAATGTCTTTGACCTTGAATTTTCTTTACTCGGTGATCAGTGTAATACAGTACTATTAAGACATTCCATACGGTCATTTAGCACATGTCTACCTCTCCCACGGGGCTGTCGGCTTCTCCTCTGTTGCAGGAAAGCACTTTTGCTCCTTGCGGTAAGCTCAGCTTGCTGCACAATTGCTTACGAACAGTAAATCCTTAGAGCACCGACACATGTCCATCCCTAATCAAGCCCTTAGGTCAGTGACCCATCTCGCCAGTCTGCTCTCCCTTCACAGGGCATGCTGATGACATCACTGCAAAACTTTCGCTGGTTGGCTGTAAACCTTGGCTGCAATATCTCCTTGTGTTATCCCTAGGCTGGTGTGACCGTATCAGGCAGAATCTTGCACTCTTCCCATGATCCTTGGTGCCATTTTGTTTGGCCATTCTTCCCTTGCCAATTCTTTAAACCCAAATTTACCCCAAAGTCTTGCCTCTCACCTTCCTTGGGCCATCTAGTATCTCATTAGGTTGGAATGACTCTTGATGAGGGTAAGGACTGAATTTAGACCGTGATCACAACACCGTACAAAACAAACAAAAAATCAAAGCATTCTTGGTAACTGGTTGGTTAGCCTCCTCCATAGACCAGACTTCCAGTAAACAACATGGATGAAAACAACAGAAATTGTAGTCATTGCAACAAACACCTTGAGCAAACAGGTATTATCTGTTGTATATGTAACAATAAAGTTCACATCTGCTGTTCAAGTGTGAATACAAATAATGGCCTGTGAAATGGCCACTTCAAGGATGGAAAAGCTCTGAATCAGTACAGCCGGCTAAAGATGATGTCAAACAGAAAAGTGTAACAAATAATTTGATCAGCACAGATGTTGATAGAGGGGGGACAAACAAGAAAGACAGACATATAAATTCTATGGAAAGAGCATATGCTAACAGATAGTCTGGAAAGAGGAAAGGGTTCAACTGCAGTTACCCCTCGCCCCAAAAAATTCCTTAATTTAATTTGGGTAAATGTCGCTTTGGATCAACATCTAGGTATTTCCATCCAGTCGTATGCAAAGTCTCACTTAAAGAAAGAAAATGCTATGACTTATAGCCCAGATTTTCACTTGAAAGGCACAGAAAGCTACGGAGTGACAAACAGAAAAATAGCATGAGAAGGGAAGGGAAGGGAACTATTGGGGGAAAAGCACCAACCATTACGAATATATAGCCCTGGGAAGGGGTCAGAATAAGGAGTTGGGATAGGACGGGGGGGGAAGGAATGATGCCCAACCACTTGGACGGTTGGAGGTTGAATGCTGACCTGCATGAAGCGAGACTCGTTCTACTGTCCAGTCCAAGTGGTTGGGCAAATAGCATGGGAGAAGAGGCAAATATTTTTTTAGAGCCAGAAGAAAGCTGTTTCAAAAGGAGGAAAAGAGGGAATGCATGATACTGGAACCAGCAAAGTGAACCCCCCACATGCCAGAGCCACAACTACCAATACACCCCTCAACTGAGTTACAAATATGGCAGGTAACAGCACTGTAACAACCAGTACATGGCAGAATAGCCAATATGCCCTGGCCCTGAAAAAAAAAGTTAAAATACATAAAATAGAGTAACCTCATTTATCTTTGCCAACATTCAGAGATCAAAAACTAAGGCAAAAAGCAAAATACTGTTCATAAATGGCCTCCACACAGAAGCAAATACAGAATTTGAAGACTTCACAGTAACTCTCATAGGAACATTAGTGGGCAGTGAGATCAGGATGCCAGAATATAATCTATATAGATGTGATAGGGTAAATAGGTCACATAGACGACAAGGTCTGTATAATAGAGGACGTATGCTTTGAGCTCCTTAACTCTACAAATGAGGTGGTAGAGGTACTGGGAGTAAAAATAGATAAAATAAACTTAGTTATTATTCTAATATACAAACTGCCAGATGCAATGGTTGAGGAATTCACAGAACAGTTCAACAAAATAGAGAACAGCCTTGATAATTTGACAAACCCAACACCAGATATCATCCTAGGAGAAGAATAGTAAATTCGTCTGAATTTATCCAGATGAAGAATAGTAAATAATAGTAATATACCAGAAAATCTCTCTTGGTAAAAACCAACTACAGGTCATAGGATTACTTAGATTGTGACAAATGTTTGCTCAACCAGCAAATGGGCTGTCCTAGGCGGTGGGCATGGACTATGACTTGGCCTTGGAGTCTTTGCTTCTGGATTCTGGGGCATTGGGGAAGTCTGAAGAAGTTCTTGGCTTCCATTTGACCCCAGTTAGCCCTTCCAAAGGAGGCCTTTTGCTTCTGAGGGAGGGGTTTTCTTACCTTCCCCACCTTGTATAACTGATCTTTCTGTAGTTCCCTCTTACATCCTCCCCCAGGGTTCATTCCCACCACCTTTACTGTCTGTCAGATCTGTAGTACTGGAGGTTTCCTTCCTTTCAGGTTTCCCCATCAATGGCTCGGGTGGTATCTTTGAACACCTTGTGAGTGACCTGTATTTTGCCCCTAATAGACGCTTTCCTTTTAAAGGTTGGGTTTTCTTTTCTGTACTGGCTGCACTATGAAGTTAGTCTTCCTGGCTAGCAGAGAACCCCTTCTTTTTCTTAAAGACTTGGTGCAGCTTCTGTGATTCCCACACGCTCAAGTGGCATGAGGTTTCAAAAATATTTCAAACATTTTTGAATGGACCCTCTTTTTGATCTGCTTAATAATTTCCCGTTTGCTCCTGCTCTTTCCTGAAATGTGGTTGGTTCAGCTTCACGCTCGTTCCCTTTGCTTTCTGCAACCATCATGGGAGATGCTTTGCAGGCTTACTTGCACGATTGGGCATTCCTTGCCCTCCTGGAAGTTTTCTCTGGCTCCAGGATGTAGATTTACTTGGGTTAGGTGCAGGTGAATTGTTACCTACCATGGTGGCTTCAGTGAATTTACCCAGAGTTGTATGAACCCAGCCTTACGGAAGTGGTTGCAGTGCTCTACTCTGCCCGTTTTGTGTGTCAAAAGCTTGTGTTGGCCCAGTCTTTAAATTCAGCGGACTTAGCTTAGTCTGCCTCCCCTTTTTTAGCCTCTTTGCCTCCCAGAGGATATTGTTGCCTAGTTCTGCAATGGATTCATTCTGTCTCATTGGGTAGGCCCTTGGAGCTGGATTCTGGGTCATGTACACCTTATATTGCTGGTTTCCTCTTTCCCTATGTCAACCCAAACATAGCCCTTTGTAATCCCTGCAGATGCTTTCCTTCACCATTACTAAGGAAGTGGAGCCAGTTTCATAATCTACTTGGAGTGGAATGGGGAAACAATGCTAGATATCAACACTAGCACTTGTAAGACGAATTAAGAAATGTCTAACATTGTAAAGAACAGAACAATAAAAAGTCCAGTGCATAAGACGATGAGGTACTAATGCAGGGATTGTTCAGAAATTGTTTTACCCAATTTTCACTTCATGGCAACTAAGAAGGAAATTGGAGTATACAGTGAAAGGGTCAGTACAGTAATAGTTCATTTCAAGCTTCTAAATGTGTGCTCTTCACTGTGGTAGATAAGTATGTATTTTGGTTGGCATTAGTCCAAAAGTTGATTGTGATAATGTGTATAGTGGATATGAATACTGGAGTAGCACCCCCCCCTCCCCATCAGATCTCTCATTTACTGGGCACTTTAGACTTGTATATAATGAGCAACACTTGCTTTGATTTTTTTTAATGTTAATTTTGTCATATATTTATACAGAATATTTTCAAATTGTAAAATATATATAATATTCTGAGCTATTGCATGTTAAATTTACATTAAAAAATTTAATATATCCTAATTTGTCATTTCAACTCCTTAACTTTGTTACAGGAGCAACACCGACATATTGTTTGGCAAAAAGTGTGGTCTTCACACACTTGTCGTGCTGAGTGGTGTAACGCAGATGAGTGACTTGCAGAATTGGGCTGCCAGCTCAGACGAGGAGAAACACAAGCTGATAGCAGAATACTACCTTCCACAGCTTGGTGATCTGGTGACTTTGCTGAATAATGGAAATATTTAGTTGGCTTTGAAATTCATCCCCCAGTAAGTTCCTTTGTGTTCTGGTCGGAAATATTTTTTCCATTTGTCTAGGAGTTTCTTTTTAAATTGGCCTACAGCTCAGATTTTGGAAAAATTGCAAAATTTATAGCTTTGGTTGAAAATACAGTACAGTAGTTGAGAAATATAATATTTTTGTGCAAGAAGTGGTGTCCTTTGAGTATAAGCAATAACTTCTTCATTATGCAGTGTTTTGACGACCTAAATTTGCAGAAGACTCTTTACAGGTTGAAATTATTCTACTTATTTGTAGTGTTAATCAAGTATTCTTATATTCAACTTAAGGAGAGTGAACTAAAAGCAGTACCAAGAATGTGAAATACTATTATATAAAATGTTTTACAAATACACTTTATATTGTTGGTCAATACATTGCTATCATGCATGTTTATTTGAAGATGTCAATAAGGTTGTGATCAAGGTAACTTGTGCAATGTTATAAAATACAGTATTATTTTAATGGTAAGCTTAAATATTTATATTTGTTTTCTAGACTATGCACATTATATATATATATTGTAGCTGTATATTATATATAGAGAAATTATCAGAAGAAAATATATACTTATATATGTATGGAATTTACAGAGTAGTTATTTATCCTCGTGAATAGTGTGTATACATTATTGATAATGCCCCATAAAAGCATAAAATGATGTAGATCTCTTGTCATAACACTCCATGTAACAAAGTGATTGAAGATAATTTGTACATGCAATCAAAAGATTGAATAGTTATAACAATCATTGGAGGCTTGAAACAGAAACCATGAAAGCTTTGCTCATCAGCCAGCAAATATAGTTTATTCCCAAACATTGTTCAGGACTAAAGTAAGTTGTATACTAAAAAGTGGCATACGCATCTTTGTATACAGTATATGCCCTGAAAGTGGAATGGTTTTGTATTTAACCCTATATGCAAATTTGTTATTCACAGTACAATGCAAACATATGTTACCAGCAATAGGTCATCAAGGCCTTCTGTGCCCTCTGTAATCCTACTGTATTTTCCTCAATTATGACTATGAGAAAAGGTGGTGACCCTTTTTAGAAACTGAAGATTGTCAAGACCAAGAGCTGTTAATCATGAGTGATGCTATGTTGGTGTATTGTAGTTGTATTCTCAGAAGTGATGCATATAGCATCACTTGTGGTTGAACAGTATTCACAAATTCAAGAAATAGTGGCATGGGTGAAACTATGTGATAAGCAAGGTAGACATGACCACAAACTGAGCACATTATTAGGTACTTTGGTGATCAAATGTCCATTTACCAGTTATGTCCATATTCTTGGCCTAACATATATTTTCCCCAAGTAAGTACTGTACACCAAAATCTAAAGTTCTCAAGAACCATGGGTACAAGAAAGTTGGAGGTTCAAGCATTTACTTACCCAGTAAAAGCCATGAGGTATTTCAAAGAATGTTGGCACCACATCTCCTGCCGCTACAGGCGCCAGGTAAAAACTAGGTAGGAGGCGGTCAGGAAGGTGAGGGCAACACTGGGCGAGGCACTGCAGGAGGCCCAGCTGAGAGGGTATATGTGGTTGCAGGCATGGATACTACAACACTTGGCACAAGATTCCTGGCTGATTCCAAAACCTTTTGGTCGGCAGCCAAAGTAGCAGACATCAGTGCATTCCCGCGTCAGAGTGATGAGTACACCATTCACTTCCGTCCTCTCCACCTGCCACAAGACAAAATTATTATTATGAATTATATTTTATGCCTAAATATATAGTACAAACCACCACATATTCTATACTGTATAGCACTACTGGTTCAAGCCATTATTGAAAGAATGCATCAGTTTGGTACAAAGTACATTTCCAAACATTACTTCAAGATCCCCACAAGTACTACAAGGTCCCTACAAAAGTACTACCCACTACTGTATAACTGTACTCTTCTTCCCCATCAGTTATTAACTACCATCTCCAACTTTCTTTGGCGCAGTTTCCTAAAGGTAATGAATACTTTACTAAATCTTTGTTAAATCTTACATTTCCTCATTAATTGTGACTTCTTTTACCTTGATATTAGTCTGTTGCTTGTTTACTATTATGTTTTGCTTGACTTAAAGATGACACATGTTTTGTTTTTTGCACCTTGGATTTTACCTTGGATCTATGGCTACATTGATTTGATTACCGTGTTTCTTTGTTTACATGGTTTTCTTTCCTACCCCCCTGTTACTTTTAATGTCAAGTTGTAATTGTCCTTGAAAAATTTTCCCCCTAAATTCCATGTATCCCTAGTTCTTGTGTTTCCTTTTTTGTTTAGGATTCCCTTTATTTTTGGTTACTTTTCTTTGGCTACCTTAAAATGTTAACTTGATTTCAGACCCCTTGGTAGTTGTTTACCATGGTTACATGATTTTATGCTCTACCTGCTCTTTGGGTACTGTTTTACTTCAACCCATTACTGTAGTTACTTTGAATAGTACAAAAGATATTAGAGACCAACTCAAAACAAAAAAAGTCTAACGTGATGTGTGGGTTTATACTAGAAGCTTCATTAATAAGAATGATAAAGTTAACATGCAACTTTTCCTTGTCCAAATGAGACTTCATTTTGCCGAAACGCTATGCTTGCAAGTGGTTGTACAAGAATGCAAGAACTCTTGTATATATATTTTAAATAAATAAATTTGGAAACATTCAATTAAGAATGACAAATTTAATCCCAAGGATTAAATCAATTTTTTTTTATGAAGACAGATTAAGAGTACTGGAGATACATACTCAAAGATATGACTAGTATACAAGTAAGATAATGTAAAAAGTCAATAACAGAACTTTTTAATAGTGAAATAAAATTACCTAAACAGCTTTTAAACCTAAATTTGTCTAAACAGTAAGTCGATAGTAATTACAGTTGCAGACGAACAGAACAGGGTGTCAAGTAGCATGAATAAAGCAAATACCTTAACTTTAAAGTAAGATAAATACTGCAAGTTGAAACGAGTGTTAACAAGATGTGCCTTTCACAGGCCAGTAGGTCTATCGCAGGGCCATCTGTCCTAAGATTTACGAACGTCAAGAAACTGTCGGACTAAAGTCTCCATTCCTAACCTACCAGAGGACCCAAAACAGAAAATGGTACTATCAATTTTGCAAGCCACTACCATTTTCTAGTACGACTATTTTTGGCCTTGGGTGAAGTGAAAATGCGAAGATGGGGGAAGGACAGTTCTTAACTCACCCTACAATAGATGTCCTTGAGGCCGCAGGCCACCAGATATTCATCACTAACATTGCGGCCGTTATGTCGGCCAAGGCATGGGTGGTCCCACTCGTAAGGTGACTTCCGGAAGTCCAACTTGCAGGAGTAGCATGTCAAGTTGCCAGGACGAACAATAAGGTGGTCAACATTCAATATCGCGTTCCCCCCTTTGTCAACGCTCTCGCCTGGTGATTTCACATCGGGAGAGTCGAACCTGGTGCGCTCTATGTCGTCGTTCCCAAACCCAGGATTTTGGAAATCATTATTGTCAAGCCCAGGATTTTGGAAACCTGGATTTTGAAGCCCAGGATTTTGAAAACTGGGATTTTGAAAACCATGATTTTCAAGTCCAGGATTTTGGAAACCAGTGTTTTCGAAATCATACTTATAAAAGTCAGGGTTCTGATAATCGTTATCTGGAAAGCTATTACCGAGCCTGCTGTGGCCTGAGACTTTTCTGTCATTGAGGTCTTCATGTTGTAGCCCCAAGCTGTTGTGATCCCGCGACGACTGGCCCTCGACTGCTGATGGAGGAAAAGGAAGAAAAAGTTATTGTATACTGTATCTGAAATTGTGTAAGAGAAAGTTAGTCACAGGAAAAAGTTATTCCTCTACCTTGTGTCTACCTAGGAGGTTTTGTTGATCAACGGCCCCATGGCCTGGTCAGAGACCAGGCAGCGGTTTCTCTAGTTCTTCGCAGTCACTTGTCCCTCGATAACTACTTGGTGAATCAGATACCTTTGATATTGCTCACCTTATGTATTAGGTAATAGGAGACCAAAGGGACAGTACACAATGAAGGGGGAACTGCCTACCGGTGAAGACTCGAGAAAGAAACCTGGGAGTGGATGTAACACCTAATCTAACTCCTGAAGCACACATAAATAGGATAACGACAGCAGTGTACTCTACACTGACAAAAATTAGAACATCATTCAGAAACCTAAGTGAGGAGGCTTTCAAGGCACTTTACACTACCTCCGTGAGACTAGTTTTAGAGTATGCTGCACCATCATGGAGTCCCCACCTGAAGAAACACATAAGGAAACTGGAAAAGGTTCAGATGTTTGCGACAAGGCTCGTCCCAGAGTTAAGAGGGATGTGATATGAAGAGTGCCTGAAGGAAGTGGGGCCAGATTCACAAAGCAGTTACAAAGGCACTTACGAACCTGTACATCTTTTCTCAATTTTTGGCGGCTTTGTTTACAATTATTAAACAGTTAATGAGCTCTAAAGCACCAGGAGGCTGTTTATAACAATAACAACAGTTGATTGGGAAATTTTCATGCTTGTAAACAGTTTAATAAATGTAACCAAAGCCGTCAAAGATTGAGAAAAGATGTACACGTTCGTAAGTACTTGCATAACTGCTTCGTGAATCTTTCCCCTGAACCTTATGACACTGGAAAAAATAAGGGAGAGGGGGATATGATAGGAACGTATAAAATACTCAGGGGAATTGACAAAATGGAAATAGAGAAAATGTTAACACATAATATTAACAGAACGAGGGGACATGGGTGGAAGCTGGAAGCTCAGAGGAGTCACAGAGATGTTAAGAAGTTTTCTTTTAGCATGAGACTAGTGGAAAATGAAATGCACTTAAGGAGCAAGTTGTGGAAGCAAACTCTCTTCATAATGTTAAAACTAGTTATGATAGGGAAATGGGACAGGAGCCATTACTGTAAATAACCGATGGCTAGAAAGGCGGGATCCAAGAGTCAATGCTCGATCCTGCAGGCACAAATAGGCCAGTACATATATACACACACAAATGTCGTACATACATACATATATATATATATATATATATATATATATATATATATATATATATATATATATATATATATATATATATATATATATATATATATATATATATGTGTGTGTGTGTGTGTGTGTATATATATATATGTATACATTTATTCTAAACCAAGTATATAACTAAACCACCGTATAGGGACCCATTAAAGGGTCCATGTATACACCCTGTATACCACCAGACACTTCTCAGAAACAAAAGAAATAGCTTAAAATAGTAAGTCAGAGTAAGGATTGAGCCAAGAGTCAGGCTTCGTGGTCAACCCCCCCCCTCCAGTCGCCCCACACTCTAGGCTCCCCAACACCACCACCTCACGCTGCCGTAATCACTACACCTTCAATCACTATACCTTCTCATTTGCTGTGCTAAATATAAATTCTAGTTTGAAATGAGGCTCCAGGAACAGCAACAAATAAATATAAAAAATACATATAATTATATATTAACATGTATTTGCCGACTCGTTCTTCAGCGTGTTGGCAGGTGTATAAGCCTTGTCATTTGCTAGGGGGAACTAGATAAGCTTAAAATGCTGTTGGTGTTAGACTTGGGGCGTATACACCGCGGAAGAGGCTTTTAAGCTCACTACAACGGCTTACTGGCCAGTCAGCAAACATACTTTAGTCCTGCACATAGTCCATGATAAAGCTACCCTCCCAGAGCATAACCTAGAAGTAGACTACACTCTACCCTGCCCTCGCCCACACACACCGCCCACACACTGCCCTGCCCTCGCCCGCACACCACACACCGCCCTTGGTAATGAACCAGAGGGTCATTAGACTGAAGACTCGAGCGAAGGTCATAAAATATCGCCAGCGAAGGGGTCCCAAGTGATGGTAACATTCCTGGAGGCGAGTCACTCGGCCCTGCCACACTCCCCTCCAGTCTCTGGCGGGTGATACGTCTCCCTCAACCCTTAATTCAGTAGAAAAACTCGCCCATAATGGCGGGGTGAGTGTATTATGGGCCCCGGGCCGCCACACTGCCCGACGGGTCGCGTGACTTATCATGAGAAGTTGCAGTAGACTAATACCTTCACAGGAAGAACGTACTAAGAACATCCTCAAAGGAACACTGTATAGTAGAGGAATTATTCTGTATTTACTCTGTATTCACCGTATAATAGAGGAAAAATAGATTAGAAAGGCGGGGTCCAAGAGCTAATATAGCTTGGTTCTGCATACACAAATAGTAAATACCCAAAGGAGGAACAGGTAACTAGTGGCCGAGGTCCAGTGAAGGAAGTAGGGGGCCGAGAACACCGCCAGCTGGCAGGCACCTTCAAATCAATTCCCGGGGCCGCCCTGCCATCCTTCACACCGACACTTACAGCTGGTGGGGTCTGACCCTGTAGCCTCGTCAACAGTGTCACCTCTTAAGTCACCTCACTCCTCGTCTATCCTACTCTTGGGATGGAATTGGACTGCGTTGCTTTGGATTTCGATGGGTTCGGTTGGGTTCGATTCGTTTAAAGAGCAGTTGTTGACCCCCTGAAGAGGTATCAATTTGCGTTTTCGTGAAATATCTGGTCAAAAATGACAGTCAAGTGCGGTCAAGGCCTCCGGGAAAGCATGTGAACATTTGGAAAGCAAATTAAAAGGATGGGTAACAACAGTAATAAATATCGTACAGTAGCGCTGAAAACTGACGTGTTGTGCTACTGGATGCTCTTCAACCCGTCCTCCTATTAGCATGTGGCAGTTTGACGTGCTATTTACCAAAAACTGTCGTACTAGAAAATAGTAGCGACTCCTGATATTAACAATGTCCCGTTTTCTGTTCGTGGGTCCTCTGGTAGGTTAGGATAAGGGCACTTTAGTACGACAGTGTTGACGTGGGAAACGCTCGCAAGAACGGGCTGCTCAAGTTCAGTTATTAATTCATAAAGAATCAGAGAGCCGAAGCTCAACCCCCCGCAAGCACAACTTGGCGAGCACGGGGTCTGGTAGCTGAGTGGACAGCGCACAGGACTCTTAATTCTGTGGCCCGGGTTCGATTCCCGGACCAGTAAGAAACAAATGGGCAAAGTTTCTTTCACCCTGATGCCCCTGTTACCTAGCTGTAAATGGGTACTGGGAGTTAAACAATTGTTACGGAGCTGCTTTCTGGGCGTTCGTGTGTGTGGGGGGAAAAAATAATAAGTAGTTGATTACTGATGATTGATTGACAGTTGAGAGGCGGACCGAAAGAGCAGAGCTCAACCCCCGCAAGAATAACTAGGTGAATACGGGTCCACTCCTACAGTAACGTGACCTCCCACAACCAATAGTGACAGCCTCCGGCCTTCCACCTACACCACCTCCACTTTCAAGAGTGGTGCCGAAAATTAGGCTCTCACGACAGGCGCTGACCACCACGGATGGCGGGAGAGTAGTGCAAAATCACTACAAAACATACTTAGCCAGTGTACCTGTTGTGTTGCTAGAGTTACGTAAGAACACACACGAGAGATTTAGCCTGGGTTCGGATCCTGGCCGGGGAGGATTAACTAGGCACCAATCCTCAACTTTACGCCTCTGTTCATCCAGCAGTGAATGGATACCTGGTTGTTAAACGATTTTTATACATATTTTTTACTACAGACGTGAACTGACGGGTCGTATGCCAGGAAATACAAGTGGGTAAGGCTTACCATGAGCAGGAGTCAGCAGTCTTCTGTTCCTGTACCCACCTGTGGCAACACAATTAGTACTAGACAGGTATGGAGCAGGAATTAAACCCAGCCACAGGGAAAAGGTTAAATCATTAAAGGATCATATAAATGAGAAGCTAAAGAAGGCCATAAGCATAGTAGAACTTAAAGTATGGATGAACTACTTAGAGGCAATGTTAAAATGCAGGAAGATGTTGAGGCAGAAAGAAAAGGGAACAAGAAAGAAGTACACTGAAAGATGAGTTAGCTTTCCTTCAAACAAGTAGACGATCTGACGGAAATGAATCTCAACATGAAGGCAGTTCACTTGTCAGGAAATTGACAAGTGTGGCAGGAAATGCAATCTTATCATGATGTCCAGTAATAAGGAGACATAAGATGCATAGAGGAGGGTGCAGCCATGTTGATACACCTTCACTGCAGATTTGAAGAAGTCAAATTAGCAGAGGGAGCTGACTAGCAAGAGTGTATGCTTGGAATAGCAACAGTGGATGACATAAGACGGGGGCAGCACTGACTTTCAATCCCTCACCAAGAATTACAGTCCGTGGAACAATACGAATGCAACAAGAATTCTCTAAAGACAATGGAAAAAACAGTTTGTTACACAAACCTGTAGACAATTATTACAGACGTGGGGACTACACTAAGATAATGGACTGTGTGAAATCCAGCGGGGAAGACATGGAAGGGAGGACACCAAGTGTGATGATGGAATTCATTGCTGGAAAATGTGCCGAGACAACGGAGCAGTTCCTATCACTGGAGGAGGTGGACAAGAAAAGTGAAGATAATTAACCCTTGGTTCAATACCCAATGCAGGGAAACTAAATGAAAATGACCTTGGAGTCAGACTCCACAAATCACTGAAAGTTGCAAAACGAATGAGAGTTGTAGTAAAAAAAAATATGCAAAACAAATCCTAGGTTTGGTCAAACGAGCCTGAGAGTTCAAGGCAGTTTAAGGAAAAAAGGTTATTCAACCGCATGAATCTCTGGAGCGCCTCCGTACTATAGACTAATGTATCCAAGCCTGGAGACCAA